TTCCTAGTAATGGCAACAGCTGTCGCCAGATGACACCCCTAGTTTTATGATTTGGGCATTTTTATAATTAGAAGTACAGGTCGTACTGGTGTACGGAGATTTGCGCGATTATTTTAGAAATGTCAGATATGGCCATTTTGATATAGGATGTCTCAAAAATCAAAATAAACATGTAGAGGAGACAAGTTCAATGACCTAAGCTGACTTTTCTGAGATTTAATAACCACATGAAAACAAATTAACGGAGATAACTATTAAGTATGTCACATTAAAAAGTTTTTAATAACAGAATGATTATATAGCTGTTACATATTCTGACAACTGCTCTAATGCCGTGTACAGGGTAATTCCTTTGATGCTCTCAGGATGCCTGTAAATACTAATAATATCATCTCACTGTGCAAATAAGGAAACTGAGAGGATAAATAGGGCAACGTGACGTGGAGTTACTGGGAGACCTAGGATTTGAACAGCCTGACTTGAATGGTCACAACAGTATGTTTATAGAACTCACTCTTAAGCCTGTTCTTAGATACTTGAATACATTTCATACTAGATAACAGCCAGAATCTCTTAGCTATAAGTTAAAACAAGATCTTATGTTTTGAAAGGTAAATTGTAGTAATTTTAAAATTTTGTAATTTCTCTATTGCTTAGTGCACATCACTTGAACTACAGTGGAAATATGTTTATTAATACTTGAGAGTTTAACTCAAAGTTCACACACACGCATGCAGGAATGTGCATGCACATAGGCAGAATTTTTGTGGTCAAAATGAAGAAAGGCTACTTAATATTATTTGAGAACCTCAAGGACACATATTCTGCCTTTCTTTTGGGTTTTTTGTTGTTGTTGTTGTTTTGTTTTTGTTTTTGTTTTTAAGATTATGATAGCTGCAGAGACCAATACTCCAGCTAAGGACCATGCATGAAGAGGACACAGACTCCCTGTTCAAAGGAAGCCCATTGGCTGCTCAGTTTCCAAGTCAGTACCCTAGTAAGTGCTACAGGAGCTGTCTCTGACATGAACTCAGTGACCAGCAACTTGATCACCTCCCCCTTGAGGGTGCAGCCTTGCCAGGCCACAGAGAAAGATGAGGCAGCTAGTCCTGATGAAACCTGATAGGCCAGGGTCAGATAGAAGGGGAGGAGGAGCTCCCCTATCCGTGGACTAAGGGAGGAACATAGGGAGAGAGGAGGATGGGAGGGTGGGTAGAACTGGGAGGAGAAGAGGGAGGTGGCTGCAGCAGGGATACAAAGTGAATAAATTGTAATAAATAATATATAAATAAAATTAAATTTAAAAAAGATTATGATATAATTACAACGTTTATCCCTGCCTTTTCTTCCCTTAAACCTTCCCACATATCTTTCCTTGTTCTCTTTCAAATTCATGACCTTTTTTTAAATTAATTGTTATTGAGTGCATATATGCAAATACATATTCATAAAGTCAATCTGACATGGCAGAGAATTCTCTTGTCGTAATTCCCATAGTACCCAGCTGAGAAAGAATATACTATAGTATACTTCATTCTAAACTAAGTAAGCTAGTCATTTTATGGAAAAGTTGGCACAGAAAAACATATTATGTGATACATCACATCAAGCTAAACCCAATATGCAACAGTGAAAACCATCAAAACAGAGCTGTTTGAATTCATTTAGTGGAAATATTCAATCATTACAATTCACTGTAATGTAGAAAGTCGCTTAGAAGGTAGTGTGCCGGTATACTAAATTTGCTCATTGAATAACTGAATATTCTGGAAGCTAAAATTCCTAAAGTGACTTGACTTTAGTGAGAGTAAGATCACCATTAAAATACCCTACATTCCTTAGAGGGTATGCATGGAATTAAAAGGTCTGCACAAATTGCCACCAGTGCCATCATGCTTTGGTTTGCAGTCAGGTGTTCAGCACTGAAGAAGAGGCAACAGTGTGTGGCATGATTTAGGGGGAAAAGGAGACCGACCCTCCTGGTGTGTATTCAGGATTAAAGACGCTTTTACTGTTTTATAGAATAAAATTGATTTGTTTCCTCAAACTACTTTTTTTTTAATAATAACTTGCCATAATGCTCTGATCTAGCTAGTCCAAAAACACTAGCGGAAGACTAAATTTCAAATTTCTGGTAAAAGTGGTTTCTGAAAACAACGTTTCAATGGCCACAACATTTGGTTTTTCACAGCTAATGAGACTATTGAAGAAAGCAAGCTCTTATTACTTGTTCCTATTTCTTGGTCATGAGTCCTGAATATCTTACGAAAAATCAAGAAAGGAGAAAAACACCGTCTATGTATCAACTGAGTAATCAGGAAAACAAATTAATGTGCTTTTTCATGCATGGAGGCATGTTCCAAAGTATTCAGGTGTGAAATCAGTAGGAGCATCCCTGCTGGAGTTTTGCTTGACTCCTGCGGGACTATCACACTCAGGAGAAACAATTATTTCCCCACAACAGCACTCTCCACCGGTCTGGTCTTAGTCCAGGTTGGGGCTCCTTCCCAACCTTGCAGAAACATTTGTACAGATGTTCAAATGTCTGGATATATTGATCAAATTGTTCAAATCTAAAAAACTAATTTCTTTACCTTTTGACAACAAAAGGAACATTTCTGAATCTTTAAATTTCAGTTTTATTAAAATGTGTGAAAATATTTATTTATTTCACTCCAGCATCGTCTTTGGGAACTTCCAGATAGCTCTGGTTTTACTGTGTTATCTCAGAAGTCATGTACAAAGGGAGTTTGGTTATCTTTTGCAATGGTGTAGTGTTTCCTCTCCTGAGACTCTTGTATTTCTCACAAGTGATTGTCCTTTCCATAAATAATGATAAATTATGTTTGAATTTTCCCTCTATTCAGGTACCAAGTCACATCTGTGACATCCACAGAGTGCCCCAGCACCCTCTTTTACCATCCTTGTAGGTGAGGCTTTGCCTACTTTTACGTTGTACAATATAACTCCAGGATGATAGTTTTAACGAAGTAAAAACTCAGCAGGCAGCAAGTGAAAACTTACCACTTTTACTTCCCTGATAGTACAGTAGAAAGAACAGAAAACTAGACAAAGACCCAAATTGTATCCACCTGAGACCCTCTTAGAAATGAATCTTCCTTAAACGTAAGGTGGAACCTAGGAAGGGCCAGTCTTGTCCACTTGACAGGTTCTAGACTCACCCAGGAGTCATATCTCTGGGAATGCTGGGAGGATGTTGCTAGATTGGGTTAATGAAGGTGTGGGTGGCACCATCCATGACTGAGTTTCCTGGATTGAGTGAAACGAAGTAGAGCTGACCATGGGCTTCCTGTTCTCTATTTTCTGACTCTGGATGCAGTGTGGCTATCTATCTCGTGTTCCTTTCACTGTGACTTCTGTTTAATGATTTGACTGAACCCCCAAACTGTGAGCCAGTTCTTTCCTTCTTTAAGTTGCTTTTTGTCAAGCATTTTATCATAATAATGAAAACAAAAACTAACACTGCTAATCCACGGCTCTCTGCACTCTAACCCTAACTAACCCTAACCCTGATTCTTACTGTGTTCTGGATTTGCCTTCTCCATGGTGTCTTAATTATCTTTGTATAAAACCACAGGATGCTTTAGTACCTCTGCTAAGTGTATCATTTAGCAGACTGAGAAGTGACTTGCTGAGGTAATGGTACAGCTAGGGTAAAATATGGACCTTGGCTTATATTCTAGAGTTCTGACCACTGCAGCAGGTACCATAGTGCAGTGATACCAAGGCAGGTCAGATGCTGCATGTAAACCCATGGACCAGCATCCTGATATAGCATGGGAAGGTGATGGGGGTCGAGCAGATACTTCTCAGCTTGAAGCTACCGGTTCCATAAGGCCTAACACAGTATTGGAAAATCACCACAACGGTAAAGAGCAATAAGGATGAGGGTCACAATAGAGATGTAAATGGAAGTTCCTGGAAAATACGCAAAGAACTAAAGTTGATGTCAGAAATGTGTGTCAGGGTAATTCCTGGGATATTTCTTTTTGGAAAGCAAATCTCTCAGGAATTCTCTTACTTTCTCCACAGTCCCCAAAGGCTGGTCTTCAGCCTTCCTTTCTGTTGTGAAGGTCTACTGAGCACAAGATGTACTTTACAATATCTTTAGGCATGACATGGATTTCAGAGGCTTCCAGACATTATGCAGCTGAAGAGAGGGAGCTTTGGGTAGTGCTTCCTTATTCTTGACTCCTAAAGTGGGTAATGTGGCCCTTTAAACCACCTAAAAAGAGGATGTGTGAACAAGTAGAGAACCTGAGGGAAAAGGCTTTCATTTTGTAAGCTCCCAATACAATATGCATTTCAACAGAAAAAATGGTGAGTGTATGAATGAGGTAGATTTCAAAAGAAACAAAAAAAAAATTAGGCTAACTTTCAAATTTCATTCTAAGATCTGTGGTAGCATTCTGGAAGGAGGGGCAGTAACTCTCCAGGAAAAGGAGAGAATATGAATTTGATTCAAATATGTCAAAGGCTGTAGTATACTTTAGGTTGATGCACTCTTATATGGGGTGGTAAAGGGGCCATTGTTTCCTGGAAGACCACAACTTCCTAGTACGCAGACCTCTCTTCTCTTCCCCTCTTTACATTAGTACAATCCTGCAGACGCAACCTTTCTCTAGAGGAAGGCATGAGTGGTGTGGACTGTCATCTCCAGCTGAGAATGTGGGTCACTGCTGAACATATGCTGAGAAACTGACAGTGGAAGCAAGACTTAAAAAAAAATATCAAGCAAGGGACAAAGATGAAGAAAAGATTGGGCAAGGACATGCAGGAGTCAGATGAAGCCTAAAAGAGCCCTGTAAGGAAGCTAAAAACAGTGCTGCAAAATAAGCTGAGTAAAAACCCACCTTCATCCTTCATTTTGTTTGACTGTGGCTGGTTCTGCCAAGGACAGTCAAATCTAATTGTGTTAGATAGAATTTTTCAACAGTAAAATATAAACAGAACATTAGTAAAAAGAGAATTAGGCTTACATCTTGTCCATTAAGGCCAGCCAGACCAGTGTCTCCTTTGGCTCCAGGTTCACCCTAGAAAGAAATAATTTAAACAATAAAAAAAAAATGGTGTATTTCAAAACCTTTACTAAGAAAAATCAAGAAAGCTATGTTGTTTGGACATATATATATATATATATATATATATATATATATATATATATATATATATATGTATAACCAAGTGATTAATTTGTTAATCCCCTTAAAAGAAACATTTATTTAAAAATAAGCAATTCTGAGCCCTAAAATCAAAGAAGTTCAAAGGTTCAAAGGAACACTGCATAAAAATGATCAGAATAGAATTAGAAGAAGGATTATTTCTTTTCTTCTATAAGCAAGAAAGAACTTTCCAGAGGGCAACTTGACAGTGTGTATCAAGGATCTTAAATCAGCTCCTTCCACCTGGCCCTGTGATTTTACTTTAAGAATGTGTCCTAAGGAAATAACCAGATGAAAAGCTTAAGGCACCTTACAGCGAACGCAGTGGTATTTATGAGAAACATTCCGCATGCCCAGGAATAAGAATCCTATCCAATAAATTACTGCACAGAGATGAATGGACTATGGTAGAGCTACAAAAGTCAGGTCATGATTTGATGGTATGCTTATTTCATACCATAAAATTACTAGTGTCTAAAGAGTGAGATACAAGGAATAAATTAGCAAATCCAGTGAGCACATGTTAACCCATACGTATGTTTCTAAGTGATCGAGCACCCCATTTGGAACACCTTTATTGCATCCCCTCCCCCCAAAGCTTCGGCAGTTTTGTGAGAAAGAAGGCAGGAGCTGCGGGAGGACGGTGAGCAGTGGTGTGAAATGTCTGGGGACACACTTTGGTTACCACACCCACGGACTCACAGAAGCCGCCTGCTCAGCACCTGCCATGTACAAGACCAAGCCAGTCAAAATTCTGGCATAGATGGTGGAGACACTTCATCAGCCCCACCTTTAGTCGGGGACTACTGCCAGATGGCATTTATCTATATTAGGTCAAAATTGTTCAAAATGGCCACTAGTAACATGGCGATGACACGTAACAATAGTGCCATATTTTTGTTTGACCTCTGTCCGAAGGATGGATATATTTATCAATGTGCCATGTAGTCCTATAGAACAATTCAATTTCTTAAAAAAAAATGCTAGTCTGTGTCTCCGTCTATGTGTCTCCGTCTACCTGCACATCAGCTTTCTATGGGTGTTGGGAATAATAGTGAGGGAAAAAAAGCAAAGCAAAACAATTAAAGTGAATGGTTGATGCTTTCCTGCGATTACGAGTGTTTCTCTTCACTTCATACTTTAGTGTTGTTTCCATTCTTCTTAGCAATAAATATCTATCGACGGTATTAGTAGTAATGACATAAAATACATTCAAAATGAAATTCACTCCCCAACCTCCTTCGTGTCTCTTTGTAGTCTGGTATAGTGAACGTGGTTAGTGCATTTGATAGCATGTGTACATCATGTGTGTGCATGCGTATAGTGCTTGTGTGTATAGTGTGTCTTATATATAGAATGCATGTTGTGTGAAGCATGTGTATAGAGTGTGTTTGTGTGCACAGTGTGGGTATATAATGTGTTGTGTACCTAGTATATGTTGTGTGTATATAGTGTGTGTGTGTGTGTGTGTGTGTGTCTGTGTGTGTGTGTGTGTGTGTGTGTGTGTGTGTGTGTAAGGCATGAACATGGTAATGCTATGTCTGCTTTGCATCAGTAAGGTGATTTTTTTTTACTTCTGTCTTTCTAAATTTATTTCAACGATCATTATCTTAACTTGCAGAAAATACTAAACGAAGCACTGGATTTTAAGAAATAGTACATTAAAGAATGAAGTACTCTACAAACAGAAACACATATGTTTGGTCCCAGTAATCTAAGATTATTAGTTTCTAATGAAATGAAGTATAAATAATCCTTGGAGTATAATAACACACACTCAGGAGCAATAAAATGCACAACTCTAATTTTCACAGTGAGTGGAGACTAGAATGCGATGAGGATTTTCAGCCTAAATTACAGGGTGAGGAGTTACTCCAGAGTCTCAACGCCTACGGTCCACATGCGGCTTTTTGCATTATTAGCTTAAAAAGCTAAAAATTGATTCCTCTCCAGTGAGATGTCTCAGTGGGTAAGGGCTCTTGTCAGTAAGCCTGAGGACCTGAGATCCCACAAAGCGGATAGAGAGAACCGTCCCCTGATTCCCACTTGTGTGCAATGAATGGCGTGCCTGTGTGCTGTTCCGCAACCCACCATGCGTAAAACAAGAATAAGCCTAATTTTAAGAATCATTTCCCAATTGTCTCAGACATATTTCAAGTGATCTCATTTGATTGAACTCCACACGTTTTCACGACAGAAAATTCAATTGAGCAGTGATGGTGTAGACAGAGGACATTCCGTATGACAGAAAGCTTGGGAGTTGCGAGTGTGGTGCTATGGGGTGGTGTTAATGAAGTGTGCAAAAAAACCAAAAAACCTGCAGGTTCAAAATGACAAGAGTCCTAGTAAGAGGGCTGGAGAGATGACTCTGCAGTTAAGCACACTGGCTGCTCAGCCAGGGGACTCAGCTTCAGTTCCTAGCAGTCACATGGTAATTCAAAAACATAATTTAGGTCCAGGGGATGTGGCACTCTCTTCTGGCCTCCAAAGGTATCAGCCATGGTTGTGTTGCACAGGCATACATGCAGGCAAAACACCCATATAGAGAGAAATAAATTTTTTTTAAAGATTTATTTATTATTTATACAACATTCTGCCTGCACACCAGATCTTACTATAGATGGTTATGAGCCACCATGTGGTTGCTGGGAATTGAACTCAGGACCTTTGGAAGAACAACCAGTGTCCTTAACCCCTGAGCCATCTCTCCAGCCCCCGAGAAATAAATTTTAAAAAGAGTCCAAATTACAGAGAAGAAAATATTGGCCTACTTACAAAACAAAAAGGTGTCTATAAGACATATAACAGTTGTTAATAAAATGCAGTGAGATTTGTGGCATAGGAAGACAGATAGAATTTCATGGGTACCATGAGCAGCATTTAGAATTCCATTGACAACAAGCACAGACTTGAGTTTGAAATGATTCTGGGACCAGTGATTCAGTACTTTGGTACATCATATGCCTAAGATAAATTGTATGAAATCCAAGAATCAGCTTCCAGCACCCCAAAGTAGAATGTAATAAGATAAAACAAAAGGATAGTTCCTACAGAATAAAAAATTAAGCACTGTCCCTATTAAAAATATATGTTCTCACAAAGACACCTGAAAACTTGACACTGGATGAAAAAGGAGCAAAGTGAGATGCGTGTGATGATGGTGAAGGTGGTGATGGTGAGGATGGTGATGATGGTGATGGTGGTGATGATTAGCATGGTGATAGTGATGACGGTGATGATGATGGTGAGCTTGATGGTGATGAAGTATGATGGTGAGGATGGTGATTGCGAGGATGGGGTGATGATGGTGATGGTGGTAATGGTGATGATAGTGAGGATGGTTGTGGTGATAGTGACGATGGTGACGAAAGATGATGGTGAGGATGGTGAGGTTGGTGGATGGTGAGGATG